ACGGGGGGTATATAGTCAGCGAACTTTAGTATACTTCCAACAAAAGCAAGATATCTTTCCACGTTGTTCTTCTCCTGAAGGTCTTCGTCGGTTTTTGAATGTTTAGGAACTCCTTCCTTGCTTGTCCTGTTTTTCCTCTGCTCGCTTCAAACTCTGGGCTCCTTATATAATCCATTAATTGACATATTCATAATATATAATTATATACAGCTATTCTTTTATCACACGTCCACAGGAATAAGTCCGGTTTTTGACTTGTACAGACTACATTTTGGAAAAACTTTCCAAAGGGTTTAAACGTTACATTTTTCTCGAATTTTCGACTATTATCTTAATATTTTTGCATTTTGGACTATCATCTTACATACTTTTGGCTCTTAAGTTTATTTTTCCCATCTTTTCCCCAACTTACGTTTATAATTTGACCAACTAATTCAGGCCCCCCGCCCTGTCCCACCACGTACGCTCATGGGGCTAACAGAAAACAGTTCTGCTCAATATGGATCGACTATTTGAATTTCTTCTAACAATATGTTTTTAATGTTATTCTACATTCACATTTTACTCCTAACTTAACTAAACACAACTCTTGAGTTTTAACTCATCCATAATAAATATCTTAGGATATTATTTATTGTCTCAATATGTAGTGGCGAAGCTAGCCATGGGAACTGATCATGCCTTTCTAATAAACCAGCAGACAATACATTTTTAAAAGTTTTAATATAATAAATGCAAATGATTAAACATTTGCACAGCATGACCTGACAAACCTGTTGCTATGGCCAGCTTCGCCACTGTCAAGATGGTATCTCAATATTATTATTACATACTTTTTTCAACATATGTAATTATATACTATAACATTACATATTAACTGCAGTTATGTTTTCAGCACCAAAATACTGACGAACAAATTAACAATAAGCACAGTCAGTGTCCTGCCTACCGACCCTGGGGAGAGGGGGGACTGCGGACAATCAACAACTACTCATGTCCATACGGCTGCAGTCAGTGCCCCACCTACCCACCCAGGGGCAAGCTGTGCTATCATAAAGATTGCAACAGGATTAAACTTCTCTCCTCCAACATATATAGCAACTGATGGACACATAATTGGTTGTAACCACTCATAAAACTTTCGTGAATCTTCATATTTCCATTGTTCATCTTGATCAGGAAAATCCATCCCAAAAATACTGTTCAGACATGGTTTTTCGTCTAAATCATGGTCATCGTCATCCTCGTCATAATCAGCGTCAGAGTCATCAACGTTATGTTCATTTCGCCGAATGTGAAAGTGTAATTTATTTTCCCTCAAAGAGCCTATGTCCTCAGGGTTGCTAGTATAGTATTCATATATTTCTGGATGAAAATGGAAGATTCCATTCACCAGTTCTAGTGGTGTAGGTAGTTCCTTCTTGTCCCAAGGAAATATAACGGCACAAATTTCATTTTGGCTTTCGTTGCCTGAACATTGGTTGCCTATAATGAAATGGTTGCCAATATTTCGGATTTTGTAGATAAAAATTTCGAGTGAATTTTATACATTTGTTTGGATCTATCCCTCTCGCACGAATCGAACCTGCGGCCTTGCGATTCTTGTGCAACGCTCTATAATCAACTGAGCTACATTGGCGTCACCTTAGTATATATAGATCAACTTGCGATTAGAACTTGACAATTTTCGCAACTGCTCCTGGGTCAGATTTAATAAATGTGTGAACTGCATATGTACGCTCGAAATGTCCATTTACAAAGCAAACCCCTCAGCAATTAGTTCTATTCAGTGAGATACCAAAAATCCTAACTGAAAACGTGATATTCTTTTACAAGGACGTGATAATTTTTTTAGCCTGGGACCTCTATTTGGCCCTCCCCCCTGCTTTCTAATAAACCACCGGCCCAGAACTAAGGGGGGAAATAAGCGCCCAAGGGTGGGAGGGGGGGGGGGGGAAAAAGTGGAAATTATTCATTGCAATGTGAACTGTTTTTCGGTTGAAAAATTGTAAAACATCAAAACATGTTACTCACCACTTAGCATACCCAAGCGAGACGCTTCATTTCTCATGTAAGTCAGTATTTCAAGAGAACGACATAAACCTTGTAATTTTCTCGCATCACCAGAAAATGGGTCCAAACCATACGGATGAATGACTCGACAGTTCCACATTGAAGGAAATGGACGCATTACGTAGATATCATCGTCCTCTCCATCCTCAGAAAAGTAACAATACCTTTCAAAATACCAGAATAAGCAAAATAGAACTTTGGTTCCCTTTCTTGTCACCGCATTAAACATATATTAGGAAATTGTAAGCAAGACTTCATCTAATTCCCCTGAATTTTCAGGGGAAGTGCAGCAATTCTCACTAGGAGAATTACCAGGAGAATAGGAGAAATTTTAGGAGAACAGACTAATTTTAAAACTAGGCAAGAAGATGCAACTAAATCACCACAGCTAGAAAGAGCATACTAAAATTAGTAAAATTGCAAAAATTTGGTTGCAAAATGTTGTAAAATAGCCTTGCAAGATTCGCAAATTTTGTATACTTTTGTATTGCGTGCAAAAATTGCTAAGACCCTGGGTACGAGTTGCTACCATTTTCGGCACAAATGTGGTAGGAATTTCCGCACACAATACATATATAGACTACACAAAATTTGCAAACTTAATTTGCAAGGATATATTTTCCGCATTTTACAACATTTCGCAAGCAAACTTGGTAATTTTACTAATTTTTTTAGTGTGCTTTTTCTAGCTGTGGTAATTTATTTGCATATATAGTCTAATTTTAAAATTAGTCTGACTATAATGGGAATTTTCTCCTATTTCTGTCGTAAGAAAGTTATAATCTATAGTTTGTTGAAATTGGTGAGTGATTCGGGATTTTTTTTTTATGTTTAGATGGATATACAGTGGGTAATGGGGAACCATATTGTGTTAAAATAGATTTAAATGCCTCATAAGTTGCTAAAATAACTTGCCGTAATATCAGTGTGAAATATAAGCGTATCCTCATTCCTCATCTTGTATTTGGTTAATTGTAAAATCATAAAACAACAACAGGCATAGTCTATTAGGGAGTTTAAGCTTCGCGTTTCCGGGAACGGCAAACGGGAGGTGGTTCGAACTTTCTTGACAAAATTTTCGTTAAACCTTTTCGTTTCTTATTTTCTTTCTTGTGTCGAAAGAATAGTCATGCATTGCAGTTTCAAAGCAGCAAGTTCATTTACTCTTTATTGCCTGATACCGTAAAATTTTTCTTTGCCTGGCGTTTGTCGTTTGCCGTATAACACAAAGCTTAAACTCTCTATTGTGAGCACAACTGGAACGGTTACCGTGAAAATTTGGCTATTCTGGGTAACTGGCAAGTACACACCAATTACACCATGGAAATTTAGAAACTCTCCCGAAATCTAAAATCCCAGCTAAGACCTTGAAGGTGTGCTGGGTGTATCCAGACATGCATTTAAGGGACTGGTCATAAAGTAACTGCTAGGGTGGGCTGGAGGTAAACTCACAAATTTTGCCAATAAGTTCGGTGACCCATCTTAAGATGTAGATAAAAATTTCAAAGCCCATCTAATCTTACAAAAAAATTTGCATGGCCCATACAATTTAAATTGGGAAAATACACTTTTATAATAAAAAAAACTTGCAGGTACGAACATTGTAAATATACATGCACGGACTGTACTGACATACGTAATTCCAAGCTTGACAAACACATTGGTACTGAGCTGCTCTCCAGTTGGTTGTATTTGCTGTGATTCGACCACTTTTTGTTGTTGTATAAATAAAGTACTGGCTTCAATAGACAATAGCATCATTTGCATTTGATAAACTATTAGTATCTTTATTTTTTGAAGTAGACATGCATGTTTTTTTGTTTGGTGGCCCAACCGTGGACATACAAAAAAATTGGCGGCCCATCGAAACTGCCCAAAGATTTTCCATGGCCCATCCCAAATCACTCCAGCCCACCCTAGCAGTTAGTAATTACTTTATGACCGGTCCCTAACACAAAGCAAGTACATACAGTACCATGTGGTCTCGTCGACGTCATTGCTCATAGTCCATCCTGGACCTGACCACTCTTCTATTGGCCCCTCGTTTGAGAGGTCAGATTTTATCCCCAAATCAAAATGTCTTTGTATATACATCTTCCAAAAATACTTGTCACTCAGCAATGTCTGGAAAGGAATTAAGGCCCGGTTTAGACGCCGAACTTTTCATGCGCCGAATCTAATTGTCGTAGATACGGCAAAATATTGGAAACTGATTTAGACGTCGAACTTAATTGTGCCGTACCAAATTGCGAGGACACTATATTGGACATATTTATACAATGCAAATATATGATAAATCATGTTATGATGTTAAAAAATAATTATGCATTAGGTTCGGCGCATGAAAAGCACGGCGTCTAAATCAATGTCGAACCGCGACACATGTGTCGCATATACGACTTGTCTTGTCGCATGTTCGAGTCGTGTCGAACTTAACAAAACCTGCCGAACTTAATTGATTTAGACGCCGCTCATGCAGCGTCGCACTTAATCATTACATTAGATTCGGCGCATGAAAAGTTCGCCGTCTAAACCGGGCCTAACATAGAAAATATTACCATAGATTATACCTCTCGTACAAAATGGTCTGACATTTGACAATAATATAATATATTATAAGACGCACATTAAGATGCATTCAATTTGCTGCTTAAAATGTGTTGACAACAAAAAGATTTTCTGCATAATCATTAATTCTATTCTAAATAATCAATAACGCTGCAGTAAATACTTTCCCTTTCTTCACAAGTAAAATCATCTGTCATTAGACAGATTAACCATTAATGCACGAGATTTTCTTACTGACAAGTAAAATTGTTTGGAAGTAGACAGAGCAAAGGGTTTAAGGGACATTCCTACCTTCCAAGCTTTGCAAACTTGCATGTATCGTAAAACATCACGTACAGGAAGCTGTGATAAGATGACATAGAGGACGTCCACTGGTAGTTGTACTTCTGATAAAATTAATACATCTGGAAATTCTGGTTTTTGCAAAGTCTAAACAGCGGCAATAATTGATACATTTGGCAACAGTACGGCAATAATTGGTACGTTTTAAAGACCTGCTGGGGCCGGTGTTCAAAGCTGGGTTATATTTCATCAAAGCTAGAAGGTTTCTTCTCTGCAGTTTTGAAATAAACAGACGTGCAGAAATACACAAACTGAAACAGCAGGTTCAATTTTAACCCAGGGTTAGCGCTAAACCCACCTTTGAATAACCGCTCCCCCAGAGGGAACTTCAAGAGTGGAAGTTTCTTGAAGGTTCAATGCATCTTATTTAACAACTTGATCACGTCTAGTTGCCGAGTCCCCCGTTAAATCAGACATAAAGTTAACTCGAGCAGAATTTGAACTCGCATATGAAGTTACCCGGGCTGACGCTCTACCAATTATCCTGCTTTACTATAATTTCAGGATTGAAAATTAGCCTTTGAGCATTTTGATTGGCTCCCTCATTACTGCTCAAACTGCTCTGAGAAGTAACTATTGCTTTTCCCAAAATAAATGGCTGAAAATCAGATATAAGTAAATTATTTATGCAAATTATATTCATAAAATAAACAAGTGTATTAGTTGTATTTATAAATAAAACTTTTTCAATACTGAAATTATACTAAAAGAATTAGTCGGCTCAGGCTCGGTGATTACAAGCCTATATTCACTTTGGCTCAGTGAATATAGGCTTGTAATCACCTTGCCTTCAATGACTAATTGTTAATTAGTTATCTTTATGTTGACAACGCAGTGTTGGGTTCTTTTCTCATAAATATATGGTATCATATTCCCCTTATGAAAGCTCTGAAATAGTTTCCGAAATTTTCCCGCGGAAGCATGCTAGACCCCATGGATTCCCCGCGCCTTTGGCGCTCGCATTGCAAATGCCATGCATACAAATGTCGCCCCGCCAAAGTTCAAACGCTGGCTACGGCACTGTGGAAATCATCCTTACTTGCAGCTGAGAATATATCTTAATACTTTTAATTTTGGAATATAACATAAAACTAATTTACTAGATAACATGTACAAGGGTCTGACTCTACAGGGTGTATAAAAAAAAAACTGAACAGATTTGAAATTGCTCTCAATTTCGCAAAACACCTATTTGTATCCGGTTTTTTATATATATAGCTTCTTTGGGTACTTATAATGTAGAATAATGAAAAAAATTTCTTGAACTCAAATTTTGTGAACCAGGGGGGTGTGTCTTTTCCAACAAACTAATAATGGCTCGCGCACAAAATTTAAAAGCTGTAATCATATTTTGAGTTAATAGATGGAAAATTTGTCGGGTTTTTAATTACTGTACAAAATTTCAGACAATTTGGTTTAGTTTAAGTCCTTTAACTATTCATTTTGTTCTACAGATCTAAGACTACCTGACCTGATGAGCTTTGCAAAGCTGCAAACGTGTTTCCTGGTGAAACAATGCATGGACAGGAATGTGTGTAGTAACTTTCACAGTTATTTTGAACGGTTACAACATGTAAAGAACACAAGGAACAACGGAATAAGTGTCAGGATTCCCAAAATACGTTTGGAATCCACAAAGCATGCCTTTTATTATAATGGAGCAATTGAATTCAACAAATTGCCCAAAGATATTAGAGAAATTGACAGTTTTATGCTTTTTAAACGAAAACTTAAAGAGAACCTTAGTTCATTATAATCCTTTACAGAATTGATTGCAGTTAGATTTTTAATATTTTTAATATATTGACTTTTTATACTCATAATTTTTAGTAGTTTTAGGTTTACAGGACATGCGTTGATAGCAGTGAATAGTCACTGAAGCATTTTTTTATCCTGTGTAAATATTTTTTAATAATAATAATAATAATAATAATAATAATAATAAAATCAGCCTTTCGCATGCTTAATTAATGCCTTTACCTAATTTGCATATTGCTGACATATGCAAATTAGGCAAATGCATTAATTAAGCATGCAAATAGCTGATTTTTAGGAAAAATGTAACTTTGCATGAATAGTTAAGGGGCTTAAACTAAACCAAATTGTCTGAAATTTTGTACAGTAATTAAAAACCCGACAAATTTTCCATCTAGTAACTCAAAATATGATTGCAGCTTTTAAATTTCGTGCGCGAGCCATTTTTAGTTCGTTGGAAAAGACACCCCCCCCCCCCCTGGTTTACACAATTTGAGTTCGAGAATTTTTTTTTATTATTCTACATTATAAGTACCCAACGAAGCTATATATATAAAAAAACGGATTCAAATAGGTGTTTTGCGAAATTGAGAGCAATTTCAAATCTGTTCAGGTTTTTTTTATACACCCTGTATAAGGTAAATTTACAGATGCAAAAAGGGCACTACACTAGGGGGCACCACTAGGAGGACCTGGCGGTATACTCCCCAGAAAATTTTGAAAATGAGGTGTCTCAGGATGGCTAAAAATGCATATATTTGTCGTACAACATTTGTTACATCATTCTATAGTCTATACATTTATACACTATTGCACTATCAATTTAAGATGGATCATGGACAGTCAGTATAATTGGATTCTTAAAGTCACAGTGCCTACAGTACATTAGACTGCCGACAACACATCACAAAACGAAATACGCTCACTTTTCACTCATGTCAAGTTGGAGCTCCACCTTTGTATAAACATTGCTTATATCCAATTAAATCGGCAGTCTCTCTATTGAGGAACTGCTCGCAGTGTACAGTACGGTAAATTGGTAACATTCTTTCTATTGGTTAGAATTTTTTCTCTGAATTTCTAATGTCTTCCGTACTGTATCACTAATATCTTCCATGTCACTTATTCTATCACAGTGACTTCTTTCTTCATGCATCTTCTGCCTGTACTCCCAGCCATCCATTCTCCCACTCTATATTTTTCTTGCTCTCCTATACTATCTCATCTAGTGGTGTGCACCCATGAGCACCATGCATGGGACCTGGTCTTGTTTGTATTTCGCCACTTCTGCCATATCTTTCTATTGTTATTAGTAATTGTTTCATAGTATTATCCATATTCTCCATTGATCTATACGTAGTTTCATACTAGTAATTGAGATTTTCTATACATAAACATGCAGCACAAGACCTTCTAACCAAGAATTACAGTTCATGCCTGTATATTTAGCTTTTTTGCAAGTAGCCAAAAAAGATTTGCAGTTAGCCCTGCGTGCATTACCCTGGTTCCAGAGGTTTATTTTCCCTCTCCCCTTCGCAATGATAATAATAAAAATAAACCTCTGGAACCAGGGTATGCGTGCATGGTCCAAACTTGCCCGCTTCGCTTGAAGTTTGGAAATTGCGACAGGAGATCGGGCACCGAAGAAATTTATTTGAGTTATGTTTCTTGTTGTCAAAATTGAGTGTCCGCGCTAATTTGCTCAAACTCAATTGCTCAAACATTTTCATACATCAGGCCGACACGATTGTCGGCTGATGAATAAAATTCGGCCACAGAACAGGAAATTTTAAGTTTTTAGTGATGGCATCATTTGATGAATTTACGTCTTGAGTACGACTCTTATTAAATCTTCTCGGTAAATATTCCAAAATGTATTCGGAAAAATTGAAATTTTCTACTTTACTTAAGCATGCATAAGAGCTTCTGAGCAAGGATTGCAGTTAGCTTCAGGCACTTGCAGGTAGAGCCGCTACCTAGGATCCCAACGGCTGACGAAGCATGTTACAGTTAGCTTAAATTAATTAGGCACTTGCATGTAGCGCCGCTAGGATCCCAACACCAGACTGGCATGTAGTACCGTATCTCATATAGTGCTGTGCATCATAAATGGGACCTAGTCTATTGTTTCATAGTATATTCTCCATATTTTCCAGACTCCATCTTTCTAGTATTTTTCTTATTGTTAAATGTACTGGAATTGTCTATGTAAATTATGTAAAATAATATAATCTAGTTATCTACAATTGTGCTAAATTCAAGCTGTTAAATCCTTGCAAAAAACCTGTTCAGTGCTCTGACTAATGTGACTGAACTACAGTATAATCTAAATTTATAGAAATATAATTGGGAATATTCACAACTAACTTGGGAAACATGCTTTGAAAAGTGAACTGAAATGATAATGGAATATGGAATTAATGACACAAGAATTTGCTGAATTTATATAATTTTCCAATTCTCACCTGACTGTCAGTTACTTGGCTACTCTTAGAAGAGTCAGTCTTCTCAATTACTAGTGAATATTTCCCTTTCACTGGAGAGAATTGCTGACGTTCATCCCAACTATTTTTTGTTTTCTCCTGAAATTTCTTTTTGAAATTTTTCTTGGCATCTTCTTGGTTGATTGGACCTTCTAGCTTACTTTGCCCATCAGTTCCCTAATAATTTTGAAGGTTAAGTGGCATTATAAGGTTAAGTAGCAGGCCTATATTAATGCGCTATTAAAGTTATTTTACTTTGACCATGCAGAGACAATTTCACTCATCAAGAGGACAAGAGGAAAGTGCTATATACAGTAGCACTCAATGGGTTAATTAATCTTAGTATTTTTGCACAAGTGAACATAACAAATCCTACAGGTTGAATATTACCTCATGCACCTTCGGTGAATAATTGTTAAATATTACCTATGTGACTTTTGTTAACCCATATTGCGCACCATGCTTACGAAAAAATCCTATAGGAATTCCTATTAGATTTTGGCCCAATGTCCTATAGGAATTCCTTATTAGAATCCTATAGTTTCTATAGGAATTAAATTGGGCCAAAATCTAATAGGAATTCATATAGGAATTCCTATAGGATCCTATATGAATTCCTATTAGATTTTGGTCCAATTTCCTATAGGAATTCCTATAGCATAGAAATCCCCATATAGGATCTCATAGGAATTTCTTAGATTTGTATAGAAATTCATATTGGATCCTATAGAAATTCTTGTATAAATCCTCCAAATCAAATTGCCTATTAAAAGAATTAATTAACCAAGGTGAAGGAAAAAGAGAAATAAATAGCAGAAAAAATTTATTACAGAAAAAATGTGTCAAATTATATAACAGGATATTTACAACTAATTTAGACTATTTAACTACAGTATTTATCTTTTTTAGCTTAATTGTGACATTTTTCAATGTTATTTAATTTGGCCTTGAAAAAGTTCTTTATGTCTTTATCTGTTGCGTCGTCACTCTCCAGTCTCCTCTTAATGAGTAAAATCATATGGTACATGTATGTGTTAGACTGAGAGTAGAATAATAAGGTACTAGGTAGAGTAGAATAATAATACAACGCATTTGTTTACATTATAGACTTCACACCATCTTTAATTGTTCTTTGGATATTCAGGACTTGTCTCGGCATATAGGCCTTACTGCCCCCCTCGTAAAAAAATCCTGCATACGGCCCTGATAAGTAGCATGCAATTTAATTGATTGAGAAAAACTTTTCATTAATAAGTTAATACATTGCATCTGACTGTAAATTGCGGCCAACACTAGACAATTTTACTCATCAATGGGTAAAGTGATCCCATATGACCTACCCGCTAGAAGTTCCTAACATTATTTCAAAATTTTGGATTTCAAAAAATGGCATGATTGAAAGTCCCCTAATATCCTATTTCAGTGGGGCCCTAGTTGGCTGGCTCTTGCTGCATACATGGGCATGCCTGTTATCTGTAAATTTTCATCCTTACACAATAACTATTTAGGCAGGGGCCACATACAGGTCCATAGCAACTGTGTGCAAGGGAGTGGGGGTATAATATCTCCAACCCCCAAACATTGTTAATGAGAAATTTCAGGTAAATTTCTAGGAGACTTAAATTAAGTCAATTTTCAGGTAAATTATACGAGAACTGACAAGGAAACATGGAAGTTAGCCAGTAATTAGAAATTAAGCTAAATTTTTGTGCATTTTGAGGATTTCTGAGGGTCTATAGGAATGGAAGCTGGTCAACTTGGCCCACTAACCAAGGAATCACCTGTCAATTTAATGCACCTATCAATATTAATCCGGGGGGGGGGGGTAAGAGTGCAGGCAATGGGTGGGGATTTGACCGTGAATTCTATCCCCACAGATGGGCATTTGACAAAGTTCTTTGCCCGGGTGTGGGCGATTAGTCATTCAACATAATTCGACATGCCGTCATGCGATTTCAGTACGAAGCCTGGAGCCTGTAATCGAGAAAACCGAAAGCTCGGAAACTTTTATTTTTTATTTCTGCTTCCACTTCTGTCTTTTCTGGCCTTTGGGAATTTGAATACAGTACACAGTCTGAATTCTGGGGCTAAAATTTACGATGCCCAGACGCTTTTTGTGGCTCTTGATATTAAATATTTAATTTATTAAAATATTTTGCCTCTATCTATCCCCTAGGTGCGTCTGTTTTGAAACATTTGATCATCTTAGGATGCCCCACCAAGCCGGCATTTGACCCAATTTTCTAATTTTTTGTTAAATCCCCAACCATTGCCCGCACCCTTACCCCCCGGGATTAATGCATGAGTCAATTCCAGGAGTAACACCACCCCCCCCCCCGGGAACACACCCGGGCATTTGATTTTATTGGTTACGATAGTGTAAATGCCTGGGTGTCGGGACACAACTTGTATGAAGACTAATCGCAGAACGGCCCTTAGGCAAGCTGAGAGTGGAAAATGCCCCACCCTGGGGACGATTTTAAACGTAATAGCATTGTCATTTAACATTATAGTATTAAACTGCTATGGAATATTATAAAACTTTAATATAAACTTGATTCTTGCTAAGAGTGGTTAAAAGTATATTTAATTAAACAATGAAATCATAAACCTATTTAAATTTGCATGGCACAGGTTATAATTTTCGCTTATTCTGACAATAAATTTCACGCCACCTTGACCACGAGGGCGTAAAATACGATCAGCAAACCAACATGCGTGCCTAAAACTAGGTTTTGCTGCCTTAAAATTTGCCGGTGGAATTCTGGGCAACCATTTGTCAAATCCCTTGGGTCCTTAGCGACTATAACAATACCCGGCCCCCATGCACGTATATGAAAGGCAAATTCCCGACCCCTGTGAACTGTCTATCAGGCCGGCAAATTTCCAGGTGTCTCCGGGGGATGGTTACTCGAGGAATTGATTCATGCATAATATTGATAGGTGCATAATATGGCTATAAAGATTTGCAAATAAATATAACAAAGTAAATAAATTAACTACAATATTAAGATCTTAAAATTGTAAAACCCAGTAATGAGTAATTTGTTACACGAGATCAAGTTTTTCAGAATATTAAAAACGACACTTACATTTCTTCCCCATCTTGTCCAAACATGAAATCCTTTGTCATTTTTCAACACTTGAATACGGTAAAATTTATCTGATTTTTCATGAACAAAGTTAAGTAAACAATCATAACCTTGAAACACTTCGCCTTTGTCTAACTTGCAATGGTCATCCATGTCTTTAATAATATTTCACATCACTACATTCAGAATCAGAGATTCAGAATGCATGGCGCCTGAGAGAAGCGTGCAGCAGCCCCCCCCTGTCGGAAACCTAACCACCCCCCTTCCGCGTCGTGCAAATAATTTCTGAAGAATCTGCACAAAATCGCATGTAATAGTAGGGGGATCTGGGAGAGAATAATAAAGATAAAATTTTTTTCTATTTTTCTACCCCTAGGACCAGTGGCGGAGATCACCCACCATCACGGAAAATGACGAATGTTCGGAAATGTTGACCTAAAATTATGAGGAAATGCCCCCCCCCCCCTTCCCCCGCATCACGGAAAGATTCACAAAGCAAATTTCAGTTACTATAGAATATCAAACCTCTTTTCTAAATTCCATGTTTTGCTTATATTTTAGAGAAAAGGGACTTTGACTGGGAGGGGAAGGGGGTCAAAATGGTTGAGTGGGGATATTGTAAAAAAAAGCCTTGGTTAAAAACACTGTTAAAGACAGCTGTATTCTATCACAAAGTACTCTCAAAACGCAGCAAATATTGTTTCAGATTTTCTCCCTAAATAGTTGTTGTAAACAAGGGCGAAACCTGAGGGGGGTATGGGGTGTGTGACACCCTCCCCACCCCCCTCCCCAAAGTACGAATCATCTGGATTGGCAGAGCAATCAAAGATTTTAAATGATAGAATGTAGAGTTACTAAGCAACTTCCAGGGATTCCAGAGGGAATTGAATAGAATTTATAGACCTAAATTTTACAGATATTCAGTGGCGTAGCCAGACCTTCATTTTTTTGGGGGGGGGGCGAAGCGAACGCCGAAGGCACGAGACCATCTATGGAGGTCCGGGGGCATGCACCCCCAGGAAAATTTTGAAATTTAGAGTCCCTGAAATGTGATTTCAAGCATTTTGGGGGTGAAATCTTGCAGAATTCCGAAGATTATAAAGTACGCTCTAGGGGGGTTCGGGGGCATGCACCCCAGGGAAAATTTTAAAATTTAGAGTCCCTGAAATGTGATTTCAAGCATTTTGGGGGTGAAATCTTGCAGAATCCCGAAGATTATAAAGTACGTCGAAGACATAAATTTTCCCAGACATTTCTAAGTTTCTACTCGCTTTTATATATGATACAGAATAAGTCTGAGAAGAATATTCATGTTATCATAATGCATATACACGTAAATCTAAACTAAATCTATTCCTTTTGGAACCATATCTACAACTGTTTTAACGAGATTTTAGAAATCAAGTTCTTCCAGTATTTCGTCGTTTTCCTCAGTCGAGACGTACTCAATCCGTTTCAGCTTCGAGGATGTAACCCCATTTCTCTACGGATTTAGCCTTTTTCAGAGAATGGTTTTTTGCGATTGGGGGGGGCGACCGCCCCCCCCCCCTTGCCCCTCCTTGGCTACGCCCCTGCAGATATTGGTCCGAAAATAAGGGTTTCACACATGTTTTAACAGGAATTTATACGGAAAATTTTTTTGACCTTTAATTTAACTGGTTTATGTCCGGAAAAAATTTTCCGACTTCCTCCCCCCCTCCACGCTCGCCAACATTTTCGTGAAAAATAGCGGCCAAAAATAAAAATTTGCCGCAGGGCATCATCGGCTTTTGCAGGGCAATTCTAGCAGACACCCCCGAATTAAAAGGGGCTAGTTTCGCCCCTGGTTGTAAAAACAACACAACATTTAAAGGCGGCACATGTGCCAGTTCCGTCCCTCCGTTCCGTTCCCCCACTTAAGCCCCAGTTCAGGGCCGTCCCGAGGGACTCGCTTCAGGGGGGGGGGTGTTTGGTTAAATCTACCTGAAAGTATCAAAAGTTCGAAATTTACCTGAAAAAAATTTTTTTACCTGAAATTTTTCTTGGGCGACTCCCCCCCCCCGTCGGCAAAAGGTCAGTGTAAATTAACCTCATTCTTTTCCAAATTCACACTAATTTTTGTAAATTAACTTTCTCTGGGCCTTGAAATTACCTGAATTTGTGTTCATTTACCTGAATTTCTTCTGCAAATCTACCTGGATTTACCTGAAATTGCCCACATGCGCAATTATTGGGGGTGTTACACCCCCCCCCTCCCCGCACACCCCCCGGTCGCTACGGCCCTGCCCCAGTTAACCTGAGTATCAGGCTCTCGGTATTGAAGAGAGCCTGACACAATTCGCCTCTACGGGCTTTCCACCCCCAGAATATTAGCCAATTAAAATTATTTCCGGTTGTAGCATATTTCCGGTTGTCCGCTACAGGTATGTAAATACGCAAATTTCGTTATTTGCAGTTTTATATAAATTTGAATAAATACGGAGAAAAATCGGTATGTTTTTGTCGAAATATCCACATGATGGAATTCTAAGCGTAAACTATGCCTCATTCGGGGAACCATAGCTCGATAG